ACACAGTGTAGTGTTTTCCCAGCTCTAACCACTCTGCTGAGCTAATTACTAAGCCCATCATCATTCAAATCAAGTGCCTTAAAGGGACACTCTGGCCTAAATGAAAAACGTAACCATTGGTAGACCTGTTGTAAATAATCTGCAGTGGTGCCGCAGTAAGTCTCTAGAGTGAGATTGTCTGGTTAAAAAACTAGGAAAACCCCCTTCTGATGATGTATCTTGAAGGTGGATGAAACGTTTGAAAACTACAGCTGCTTTAGAGTGGATTTTTTGGGCTGCTATGAAACTTTTTTTTTCTGTTAGCTGGTGAATGCAGAAGGAAAGCAGATGGCTAACATTACTAGAAAGCCGAATACATTAATGCAGTTGTATAAAGTTGTGTTCACATTGTTGTTGCAATCAAGAGGTTTTAAAACAGAATTATTCTCTAGATGAGGAGGACAAGAAGTTAAAAGCTAAAGTTAGCAGGGTAGCTATTATGTGGATGTCTTCGTTTAGTTTGGCTGATATCTCACTGACATCTTTTCATTTTCATTGACTAACAAGGTAAAAGTTACACTAATGCTTGGTTGTATTTGTTAGTCTATAGATCAGGGGCTAGGCTAACAGTCAGGATTGGTTGACACCACAGTGATTCCAAATGGTTGATAGATTAATTTTCACAATGCATGGTGGTTATTGTAGTGAGAGAACACTGATGAACAAGAGCATGAAAACAACATTTGTAACAAACTCTGTCATACTGATAAGGCTGATGGATACAAAGCTGTGCTACAGAACACTATGTGACAAATAACATAATAAACTCTCATTTTTAACCAAAATGGCCCTTTAAAACTGTGCAGTTTTGTGTGCAGCAGTTGGACTTAACAGGCCTTTTTCCTTCTCCTGTTGACATCAGTCCCTAAACCTCTAATTGTAGAATAGAGTCCAACTGATGAAAGTGATGCACAATACCAAATTTAGGAAGCTAACAAAACTGATGATCGTTAATATTGGCTAATCCAATCTTATATGGCTTATGTGCCTTATATGATATGGTTCTAATAGTTTTAAACAATGCTGTACTGGCTGATGAGATTGTCATTTGTTAAATCAACAGTAGAAATGCAATCTCTCTGAAGAGTGATTTTAGTAGTAGTAGAAAGTACATTAGACAATTCTCAGAGATCACATATACACTTTTATTATATACTACAAGCCACTTCAGAGCAACTTCAGTGCTATATCGATGATAAGAATAAATCCCTGAAATCCTAATATCAGCCGGTGTTATCGACCAGTGAGCAAACCATAATACAGAAGCACATTTTCAAAGAGAGTCTCTTCAAATATTCAGTTCACTGTGGGCTGAAAAGCTAAAAACTTGAGTGAAAGTAGTCGGCCTTGGTATCTTTGTTCTTTTTCATGCTGAGAGATGAACCGGGCTGGTATGCAGCAGTGAGGAATCAAATGCTGCACGTGAACTTGCAGTGGCCCAGATAGGCTATCTGTGACCAGGACGAGCCCAGGCTCCTGATGGAGGGTAATTGCCTCTGCGTATCCCCCCGCGTCACATCTCACCGGCGCTCTAAACTGGGGCCGACTGCTGGAAGCCCTTATGTCTGCAGGTAATTGGTTCCAGGCAGCACCCAGAGATTGGGAGTGAGTGGAGCTAAGGATGGCCTAGTGCTCAGCACCAGGATTAGCTCGAGCTTTAGTGCTCAAACGAACTTCTTTACCTTTTGTTCTCCAGGGGTGCCACTCTTTCCAGCCACCGCTTGCTGCCCAGCTGGACAGTGAAGATGGTAATCGTCCTGAAGGGCATAACAATGATCTTAGACGCCTTTATGCAAAAAATAGGATACCCCTCCATAAAAAAAACAAAGAAAGAAAGCAATGCAGTTTGAATGTCTTCCCTCTATTGCTTTGTCTCAGCCAAGTTAGTACTCTGTAATAGGCTAACGTGTAAAGTATTGTATAAAGTTATCATAGCTGCTTGTGAACAGTGGGTGTTAGGTCTAGCAGTATAAGGAGAACAATGAAGACTTTAGAGGACTCAGATGATTCTACAGGTCTCTGTGTAATTGCCTGGACTGCAGTGCCAGTAGTTACGCCAATAAAATGTTGTAGTACTTGAGTTCGGTCTTAGTCTCAGTCTTAGTCTTAGTTTCGGTCTGGGAGTAAGGTGTACTCGGAAATTGTTCTGGAGACCAGCCAAGTGCAATGCCTCCATCTCAGGATCTCGCTGAACTTTTTCCTGTCATTATTGAATTTCAAAAATACCTTCAGGTAGAATAACAGTCCTTTCTCTACATGCTTAAATTAAATCTGTTCACTGGCGGTTGAGGATCGAATTGATCCTTTCCGTGATGGCTTAACTAGGTATTATTTGTTTGTTGATGTTTATTGGTTCCAAAATTCAAACACCCCCTGAGGTCAGATTGGAATTTTATCATTATTATATTTTCATTTAATAAGTTGTTTGGTTTATATAACATAACATAATATTTATTAATATATCATGTGCAATGCCTGATATATAATGTCCAGTGAACTACAAACAAATTTTATTTCCCCCCCTTGTCTTCCAAGTATCGGTCTTGACCTGGACTCAATGTGTCCAGGTCTCAGTCTTGACTCGCCACTGGTGGGCTTGACTGCAAAACTGTTGGGTGTTATAGCAGGCGGTTCATCTGGTATACTTGTTATTATTCTTCTTAAGGTATCAGTTTTGTGTGCAGATAACACAACATACAAACAGCGCGACATGGTAGGGTTAGGCTGGGATGAAAGAGTCAGGGATGCTTCAGTTGTGCTTCAGTGACAATGAAAATGCAGCAGTCCGTCGGATCACCTCCTGCTGTGTAGTGAGTTGCAGTCTGAGGTATTCCAAGTTGTTGTCAAGTAATATATAATATATAAGGAACAGCCTAGCATGGACACCTTTCCATGCTACTGTTTTCTTTTGTGCCTCCTGTGCCATTGTCTCCCTCAGTCAGCTACTTTAGACAAGACCACCATCTCAGGGCCTGGTCCTCACAACCATTCAGTTTTTCCGGGCCCAGAGTAGCTGCTGCGAGCCTACCTAAGAGTTCCTTTAACAGTCAAGCTCAAATCAGGCAAACTCTGGTGCATTTGTTTTTGCTGACATTAGGGTGTGAAAGATAAGTGCCCCTCCTTTCAGGATCTCCAGCCCCTCTTTCAATTCCCCTCCTCCAACCCCCTGCAGCACCCATAGTCCTCTGGGTTAGATTGTGTGAGCTCTCAGAAAAGCCACGCTCTGGGCTTTTAGCACATTCTGTGCATGTGAGGGTATGTGTCTGCCTGCCTAACAACCCTCTTAACCCTTGAGAGTCCCGATTCAATTAAAGGCTTTACACTGTGTGAAGATACTATGTGTGCTACTGGAGAGACTTGGTGTGTAGCAGGCCACTGGAGAGGGGTTTGTTTGCGCCTCACACAGAAAGCTAATGGGCTTCCACCAAACATGGCTCTCTCAGAGACAAGCATGGACTTCTCAGTCTCATTATGCCACTTGCCTGCTGCATCCAGCATACTCAGAGGGTCAAGAAGATCTCAGTAAGACACAAGCTTGGTTTTATGCCCAATTTACATACTTTCATTCAGTTCCAGCAGTGTTCTGAAATCAACCTGAAATCAAAAACTTGTTAGTTCATGTCCCTGCTCATATTGAACACAATCCTTCATACCCTCCCATTTAAAAGACGAAATTCTTGTTTCTTGTAATCTTTGATCAAAGTGTAGTGACTTTTACCCACTTCTAAAATGTCCTTGGTAACGTTTTATGGTAGGGCAGTGTTCATAAGGCTATGTGACACCTACGTTATCTTGTCACGTCAACTGATAGAAACCTGCATAAAATGTAAAAAGAATTATGTCATTTGTCATAAAGGCTACTTTTATCATTTTTGACTTTTGTCAACTTTCAAGTTGACTTAACACATACATCAGGTGACAGTGGGTTATGACTAGGGTCGGGTGGTATAATGGCAATGCGGTATACCACAGTATTTAAAAATGATGACATTATTTCAAAATGATGGCAAGTTAAATTTCTGTTCTATGTCTGAATGGCCAAATAAACACATTCCACCCATTCCACCCAACCATTTTAGAATGGCTTACTGATTGGTGGTTTGGGAGCTGAACGAAGGTGGTGCTAATAAAAAGAGGAAAAAGTCAAGTTTTAGGAAAAACCTCAGAAAAGCGTGACAGTTGTAGTGACAGAAAGTAGTCTTTTGGCCTGCTAACTAAGCTATTGATGGCTTAGCCAAAACACTACAGTTCCAGATGCCCCATACCAGATTTGATTTCAGCTTTCTGTCACCCCAAAACTAGGACTGTGGTGTGTGGCGCAGCTTTGGTTTGTAGCCTGCTTGCTAAGCTAATATTATTTGAGCGGATCAGGCTTTTTAGCAATTTTAGCAGCACTTTTAGCAGTTCTTAGATAGAAGGTATGACATTTATTGAGTGGTGACTTGAGTAATACAGGATAAGATAAAAAAGATGATTTTTACAGTTCGTATGATGTTTTGAAAAAAGTCTTTTGACCCCATAAATTGTCATGACACAACTAATGTCAGAAAAAAACGTTTAAGTTGACAAATGCAACATTTATGACAAATGATACCTGTTGGGAAAAGTGTTTATAAGTGTCTATGTAAGTTCTCATGAACGGCTTATGTAGGTGTCACGTGGGCTTTTATGAAGACTCCCCTTAAGTGAAGTGTTTGCACATTTTCAGAGTTTCAGAGTCATGTTTCTGATTTTAAAGAAGGATTGTAGCCACAATGCTAACATGGCTAACAGTGAATCAGAGACCAGTTAGTGTGAGCTCATTCACTAATGGCCAGCGTTAACATTTTGGTGGATTCCTTTCAAAACCATGAGAAATATTTCTGTGACTGAAAAACTGCTCATTCATTTACCAAATCAACAACCCCAACAAACAAAAATGTTCTGTCTTCCCCCACACCACCTCCCCTTTCCCTTCTTAGGCAGCGTCGTCAGCTCTCAGCAGTCTGGGCCATGTCTACACGGCTATCGGCGACTACCCCAATGCTCTGGCCAGCCACAAGCAGTGCGTCTTGCTGGCCAAGCAGTCCAAGGACCAGTTGGCGGAGGCACGCGAGCTGGGTAACATGGGCGCCGTCTACATTGCCATGGGAGACTTCGACAATGCCGTGCAGTGCCACGAGCAGCATCTAGGCATCGCCAAGGCACTGGGTGATAAGCGCGAGGAGGCACGTGCCTACAGTAACCTGGGCAGCGCCTACCACTACCGCCGAAACTTTGACAAGGCCATGTCCTACCACACCCACGTTCTGGAGCTGGCCCAGGAGCTGGAGGAAAAGGCAATCGAGATGCGGGCATATGCTGGCCTGGGCCATGCCGCCCGCTGCATGCAGGACCTGGAGCGGGCCAAGCAGTACCATGAGCAGCAGCTCAGCATCGCTGAAGGCTTGAAGGACCGTGCCGCCGAGGGCCGCGCCTCTTCCAACCTGGGTAAGCAATTTTATTAAACTGGGGAGTAAAAGAAGCTTTGGTAAGCAGAAACTATTATGTGTTGTAATAGGAGTCACAGTGCTTTTTCGTTCAGTTATTTTACTTTGCCTGTGAAGACTACCATTATCTGTCTAGGACAGGTCCGGAACAAGTCTAAGACAATGACTGATTGAAGTAGAGTCAAGATCAAAACTCAAGTCGTCTTTGACGCCAAGCCTTAACTAAGCTTCCAGTCAAAATTTCTTAGTGTTTTCCTTTCCTATTGCTTTGTGAGTCATTTCAAGGTGAGCTGCACCCCTGTAGATTCAATTGATACAACAGAATTAACATTGTTACTTTCATTTTGCTATACTGTTTGAATTAAACAATACATAATTAATTGCAGTTATCTAAAGAATTACATGTGATTTCAATTTACAGGTTTGAGTCTGCATAGCTGACTATTTTTTTGTTTTTTTTTCTAATGTCAATAATTGACATCCATGTAATTTATGGATTTTTCTTTACACAAAACAGAACAGTAACTTTTCAACAAATTCAGATCTTTATAAAATATCTTCTGTTGTACTTACAAATGTGGACAATTTCCGATCCAGTTGGCTAAATCAAATACAAACATGTGCAGTGATTTGTTTTTGAGTTGCTTGCGTTTGACTCATTGCATGTTGGTGACAGTTAGAAGAAATAAAATACAAATAATTTTCTTTAGCAGTAGCTGAATGTGGCGAGACCAATGGCCAAGATCAAGACGAGTCAGAGTACAAATACTATCAAGTACAAGACGAGTCTGAGAACATAGAAAAAACATCTTGAGTCCATAGTCAAATTCAAATTCTCAGAAACAGCAATTGCAAGCATAGTAGACCAGGGAACAACACAGTAGTGGATGACTGAAGGTTACTTCCAGTCGTAAATGAAAAACTATTGAATGAATCAAGAGTGCTACCCATGCTGTGTGAAAGAGAAGAGCACAGTTTACAGTTTACTGAAAAAATATAAACTGTTCTTGGATAAAGAGTTGTGGGCGAATGAGAGTGTGGGTGAAGGATAAAGGTATACTAGAGTGATGAAAAAAAAAAGGAACCACTCATGGTTCAAAGCATCCATCCCATCACTGAAACATCATTGCATGAACATGTATGGCTGCCAGTGCAAGTGTTTCACTCGTCTGTATTGATAATGTGACTGCTGCCTGATGGGATGGAATGAATTCTGAAGTGCTCAGAAGAATCTTAGATGCAGTCTGAAATCTCAAGCTTTTAGAGTGTGTTTGTGGGAATTTGTACCCATTCAGGGAAAAGAGCAAGTGTGAGTGCTTGACCTCACAATGTTCCATTTCATTCTAAAGGTGTTTAGTGGGGGTGCGGTCAGGGCTCTGTGCAGGCCACTGGAGTTCCTTCACACCTAACGTGTCAAACCATTATTTTTTTTGCACCATGCTTTGTACACAGGGATACGGTCATGCTGGAACAGGACCTTCCCCAAATTGTTGTCACAAAGCTGGAAGTGTATAATTGTGTAAAATGTCTTTGTACATTAACATTGCCCTTCACTGAAACTAAGGGTCCTGGACAAACGCTAAAAACTGCCCCAAACCATTATCCCTCCTCAACCAAACTTTACTGTTGGCACTATTCATTCAAGTAAGTAGCATTCTCCTGGTGTCCACCCAGCCCATATTTGGCCATTAGACTGCCAGGTAGTGAAGCGTGATTCATCACTTCAGAGAACGTCTCCACTTTCCCAGAGTCCAATGGCAGTATGCTTTACACCACTCTAGCCAATGCTTGGCATTGCGCATAGTAATCTTAGGCTTGTGCAGCTGCTCAGCCATGGAAACCCATTTAATGAAGCTACTGACACATAGTTCATCTGCTGATGTTGGTTCCAGGGAAACTTTAGAACTCTGTGGAGAGTGATGCAGAAGAGGATAGGCGATTTTTATGCACTACACACTTCAGCTCTTGGCAGCCCTGCTCTGTGAGTTTGTGTTGTCTACTGCTTTGTGGCTGAGCTGTTGTTACTCCTACACATTTTTATTTTACAATAATAGTATTTATTAGTACTTTGAGATCTATCGGGGCAGAAATTGCACACACTGACTTATGGCAAAGGTGGCATCCTATGACAGTGACATGTTTAAAGTCACTGAGCTCTTCCGCATGACCCATTTTATTGCCAGTGATTGTCTAGGGAGGTTGCATGGCTATTTGCTTGATTTTATACACGTTTGCAATGTGGCTGAAACACCGGAATGCAATAATTAGGAGGGGCGTCTACATTCACAAACGCAAAGCATTTGTTAAGTTGGACAGTTTTGTTTGGGACAATGTTTACTTGACCAGTTACGTACAGAAGCTCTGCTTCACTAGATTAATCTGGAATTTGAAGTTTGCCAACATCTCAAACAGTAAACATATTTAACTTTAAACACAATGGTACAGATTCATTAAATGCATCTCCAGATTTACTATGACGTTAAGAGCAAAAAGTATGGCAGTGACAAGTTTTTCCATTTGTAAACAAGGATTACTGACGAGTTTTACAGCTTGCACGATGTGAGCCATAGTCATGCATTTACTTAAAAATGGCTGTACAGATTTATAACGACACAGTCGTGCAAAAAAATAACACGTGGATTAAATTGCGTTTTGTACAATCCTTACAAACATGTTTGGTCTCACACGCAACAAACCGCACATACACACACTCAGCTGATTATCAGATATACTTCAAAGACGTGTTTTGATCTGTTCGGACGTGGCAGCATGGCATACCTTCCGACTGCTGTTGTTGGAATACAGAGGAGAAAAAAGACTCGCTTGAGCAGAATTTCAGATTGTCAGAGGAAACTGGCACTGTATTTTTTCTTCCTGTGTCCAGTTTGATGTTTGGCTAATTCTCTCTCGTATGTGGGCTTGGAATCCAGATAAGTAAAGAGTAATTTGACATGTTGAGATTCTACTTACATTTTCGAAGTGATTTTATTGTAAGCAGTTTAAGCTTTGAGTCATAATTTTGTATTTTCAATGAATTTTACAAAGAAATTCAATCTACACGTGAAAATGACATTTTACTAAAGAAAATAAGTTTTTTACAAGTACTAATGAATTTATTTTAATTTTTATGAATCTTACTCAAATATTAATTACTTGATATTGAATATTTACTTGTAAAATTTTAATGTTCACATGTGCAAATCAAATTTCTGAGATCAAGAATGAAATATTTACTAGTTGAAACGTCATTTTCACATGTGTAAAGTGAATTCCTGAGAGAGAAGAAAAATAGAGAATGACTTGCTATAGTGATTAGAATTTCAGCATGTCAGTTTAATTTTTAATTGTAGCAAAAAATGCCACATTAAACTTCAGTTTGTTAATAAAAATTGGTACTGCACTTATAATAATTGGAAAAAGGCTTAAATTCTAAACCTTACATGCTGAAATATAATCCCTACAATTTAAAGTTGAATTTTAAGTTGTTAGAATTCCATTTTTGTATTGCAAAAACTTTTTCTGATAAAGAACCTTTGTTTCTTTATTAAAAGTTAAAAGCATCTTTAACAAGCAATTAACCATTATTTGCCAGTGTCTTCCATTAAAATTAGCTCTGTTTCTGAGAATTTTTGTTTTCTTTGTTTCTTTGTCTTCGTTTCTTTCATCATATCCATTGTGGCAGCCAACCGGAGCTTCACTTGGCATTAGTCTTTAATATGTATGACCTGATTTAAAAGTGATTTTAATTCCTGCCTAGGACAACAGCAAAAATACCGCTGCATTGAAAGACACCGGTGCGCTAATTACCGCTGCAGTGGCTTTATGAATAGGTCTTATTTTGTCTGCCACACATTTCGCTTGCCGTAGCGCTGTTTCCACTGAGTGACTCTGGCCCAATATGTCATGAACATATTCAGGATTACCACTGATTACCACTTTATTACACACTTTAACTTTAGGTATTTAAATTGTGTCCCACAACTCTCATTAGACTAAAATTGAGAAAGATGGGATTTTTGTAGGATGATAATGATAATATCAGAATCATGTCCTTGTTCACAAATAATTGGTTAAAATGATATCAGATATCAGCCGTCACTTCACACATCGCTGCACCTCTGTGAAGCTTGTCCAAATGTACAACTGTTGCTATGAAAGAATACATTTGTAGGCGGAGCATGGATAGATCAGTCATTTCTGTTAGTAAATTTCTGTACTTTAAACAGACCCAGCTCAGCTCATTAAGGGTCTGACGCTTATCAAATGCATATGAGAGCAGCCAAACATTGCATGAATGAGCAGCTGGTATAGTGTAGTGGATAACACTACTGCCCTCAATGCTGCAGACTGAGAGCATCTGCCAAATGCCATAAATGTAAATGTAAATCCATCAATGTATGTAACCTGGTGATAATGACCTTGTATGCCCTAGTCACCCAGAGGAAGTGTGGTTTTAATGGACACACACCCAGTTCACATGCTTCAACCCTTCTCTGCTGCACTTAGAGTACCAGGTGTCACACGCACCACCTCTTTAGGTTGCATGAGTGTGTGCGCAATGTAAGTGCAGGACAAATGGAGCCCATCAAAAGCAAGTGTTTCCAAGCTCGTCCAATCCTTCACTTTGACTTCCAGTGCCTCACAAATACTTTCTCCCAGCCCGACACCAAGCTCCATCAATTTGATCCGAGGCGCGTGCACTCTCCCAAATGAATAGATCAACTCTTGAAAGAAAAATGTTGCCAAAGGAAAAGGGAGTATGTGCACCAGATTACAGGGAGCAAAGCGAGCTACATCTGGAATGACTGCAGGTCAATTGTTATGTAAATATGTGCTTTCAGAGTAAAGAAAGGAAGAAAGTCCAGTGTGTGTCTTGACTTGAAAATGAACGTTTTAGTGCAGCTGTTTTTTTGCACTGATTTAGTATTTCCAGGGCGCATGCCACTGAACACTCTCTTAACTCAAAGTCCTTGAAACATTTTAATCAGAATGAAATGATGA